GAATGAAACTAAACCCCTATCTTTCACCTTGCACAAATGTCAACTCCAAATATATCAAAGACCTCAATGTGAAGGATAGAAACAGAGGGAGAACTCCAAAATTCCTTCTATGAAACCAGCATCACTCTAATACCCGAACCAGGTAAAGACACAACCAAAAAAGAAAACTATAGACTCATATCCTTAATGAGCATAGATGCAAAAATTCTCAGCAAAATGCTTGCAAACCACATACAAACATACATCAAAAAGATCATTCACCATGATCAAGTAGGCTTTATTCCAGAGATGCAGGGATGGTTCGATATATGAGTCAATAAACGTCATAAACCAATGACAAGAACCACATGGTCATCTCAACAGATGCAGAGAAGGCCTTTGACAAAATTCAACCCACAGAATGGGAAAAATCTTCACCAGCAACACATCTGACAGAGGTTTAACATCCAGAATATATAACGAACTCAGAAAACAAATCGAGAAACCAAATGACCCGATTAAAAGATGGGCTAGATCTAAACAGAGAGTTCTCAGAGGAAGAAATAAAGATAGCTAAGAAACATCTCAAAAAGTGTTCAACATTGTTAGTAATTAGGGAAATGTAAATTAAAATCACCCTAAGGTATCACCTTACCCCAATCAGACTGGCTAGGATCAAGAGAACAAATGATACCAAATGCTGGCAAGGATGTGGAGAAAGGGGAATGCTCATTCACTGCTGGTGGGACTGCAAACTTGTGAAACCTCTATGAGAAACAGTGTGGAGAACTCTTAGAAAACTAAAAATGAACCTACCATATGACCCGGTTATACCACTCCTTGGCATATACCCAAAGGACTCATCCTACTGTAGAGACACTTGTACAACCATGTTTGTTGCTACTCTTTTCACAATAGCTAAGAGATGGAAGCAACCTAAGTGTCCCTCAACTGACAAGTGGTTAACAAAAATGTGGTATATTTACACAATGGAGTTCTATTCAGCAGTAAAGAAAGATGAAATAATGATTGCAGGTAAATGGATGGATCTAGACATTGTTTTACTAAGTGAAGTAACAGAGACTCAGAAAAAAAAATCAACGTCTGTTCTCCCTCATATGTG